AAACGCGTGTGAAAATCTTTTTGCGCCATGTGTGGCTGCTCACTCTCCCACGAGGTCGACGGCGCATGAGCCTGCCATCCCCTCCCAAGATTTTCATCTGTTCTTCTTAAAAGCAATGCAAGAGAAAGTAGAATTTAAAAAATATTAGATCATATGCAATTACAAGATGCGGTATATTCCATTTTTCCTCTTTGTCCCTTGGTTTGAAAGTTTTCACTGGTTTCGCACTGCACTGAGAAAATGTGTTCCCGTCAAAAATTCAAAACTCCGTCAAAATGTGCCCTCCTCAAAAATTTTGATAGCGCAACTTGCGCCATGGAACTCCTTCTGAGCACCTCTTTTTCGTACCCTACTTTTGACAGTTAACACGTAAATATTATTTTACGAAATAATAGTGAACCATTGTTCTTTAACCAGGGATGAAAATATTTATCTATAATGAAATAGATAGGTTTGTACGATAAACGGTAATTATATAACATAGTTAACTTCCATTGCCATGGAAACGGCAGCACAACGGACACAAATCCATTTCTCAATATCTAAAACGTAAAACTTGTGTGGAAATCTTTTCGCGTCAAGGGTGCCCCTCTCCCCCCCCCAAGATCAATGGCGCATGAACCTGCCATTCCCCTTCCAAGATATTTTTTGCTCTTCTCTTCTCAAAAGCAATGCAAGCGAAAGTAGAATTTAAAAAATCGTAGATCATATGCAATTACACAATTCTTCCTTATTCCATGATTCCTCCTTCTCTTCTCTATATAGGCATATGTTAATTATATAGGTAATTAATTTTATAGTAAGGCATCAGTACTTATTTTTCAGCTAATCTCGATTACTAAAAAAATATGAAACTACTGTTCTGACCCAGCAACTGTATAGTATTATTCGATGTTATAAAGATTGCGAATGTTCCAGCAAAACTAGCTTTAAATTTTGCAATTTACTCTTAACAATTTTCAAGTCAGAAGATTTACACCTTCCAAATGAAATAGCTGATGTAATTGTATCATTTGCTTACATATGATTTTGGTCAACATTCAGATATACTGCGGTTACTGATGTAGGACGAGAGATCTGGCCGAACCAAACAATGTGACAGATGGTCATGAGGATGAACTAAAGGGTAGTGTCTCCCTCATGTCGAGAATGTCTTTCACCAGCATATTCACTGCATGCAAGAATTATTGATTTACAATCATCTTTTCATTTGATTATGCTTACTTTAATCATTATCTCACATCTGTGAAAAATAGCTCTCGCAGTGAATGTGATAATAGATAGTTCAATGACGTGGGGGGCTTGAGACCAGGGGAATCCAATGAGTTCCAATGTACTTCGAATTTGCTCAGAAATCAAAGTTAATTTTTTTTCATTAAGTATTGATTGAATATGATTATGTGGATAATTATCTTCATATAAAACATATGAGAGGTATCATATTAAAGGTCATCTGTCATTTTCAATAAGTGGAGAAAAAGTCAATTCTAGTTCTATGGAGGTTCAGCTCATTAGAAGATCCGGAGTTTCATTTTGGGAGGGACTTTAGCCGGAACGATTTTTTTTTTTTAATATAATGATAATTACTTTGAAGAAAGAAACTGATTATCAGTATGACATGGTGTTTAAGTGATTTTTTAAGTACTATTAAATGTCATTAATGGTAATTACATGAACAATACTTTTAGAGATAATTTTTTAATATATTTTTTTGATCAGACATAGTAATATTTAAACATTTTAGGGGAGGGAAGCTTCAGCCCGAAAGCCCTCTCCCCATTCGTACCTGTTGTTCAAGTCAAAGTGTTTATGATGATTTCATTTAAAGAATGTCCATGTTAAACCATGAAAAAACTATTAGAATTGGTTTTAATTAATTAATAATCTATTATTCAATGGACAGAATGTTATATTACTGAATAAATAAATTTAAAACAATTTTTCTTTATTTTTAAAAAATGACAGATGTCTGTCTTTGATATGAGGACACTTAATATAAAATCAAATTAATAAAATATCTGTAAATATGAAAAAAATCGCATCAAATATATATATCAGAAAACAAGATCCCCTCTTTCAGACTTTTATAAACCTTTCCACAGAACTAAAATTTTTGAACGTTCCTTTATTGCCCGCCCCATTGCTTTCTGGATTTCCCTGCCATCTAATATCACCCATGTCTTTTCCCTTTCCTCATTCAAATAACTTCTTCACATTGATAATAACCTTCAAATATTTCAAACTGACGCTCTATAAACTTGGAATTACATTTAATGAATAAAAATCTATATAAATGAAGTGTCGTTTTCATTACTTAAGTTTTAGGTTTAAGATTAAACAGAAACAGTTTTTTTTTTTTGGTCATTATGATAATCTTTAGTGTGAAAACGCTTTTAATTTCTTTTATTTATGTATTGTTACTGAAGATAATGCATAGAATTGTTGAATATTTGTTAATGTAGTTTTTGTTTGCACAGATAAGTTTTTTGTTTATTTGTAAATACCTATTTTCTTAAGGGACTTACTCCCTAAATAACGTTTATTTTCTACCTATCTATCGATCTATATACACCTGTGCTGGCCATTCCTATTTTATTGTTTGCTTTTCATTATTAAATAAGTACGTTTGTTCCACAGTTCAGTAAACATATTTTTCTTGTAACCGATTTTTTTGACGTGCTATTTACTGTTGCATTCTTCAAAAGCTCTTAATTTCATTATATGTTAGTTTTATATTCTTGAAGCGTTAAGTATTATCTTCATTCATCATTATAGATCATTCATTCCTAAGCGTAGGCAAGATGAGGTGGCACACCTCCCTTCAAAATATTTTTGACCTGGCTTAGCCCTTGCATTTATAAGGACGTATACATACTTTGAATGATCAAGCTCAAAATTTTTCATTTGAATTTCTCAACTTCTCTCATGAGTCCTCTAATATTAACGCTGTTTTTGCGAACACTAAATAAATTTTGAAATGTTTTTAATGTTAAACTGTTGGGAAAGTAGTGGACTATAAACAACAACGGGAATATTAGACCTGGATATAGCAAAAGTATTTCATGGATAAAAAACTCAAGAAACACCTGAAGAAAGTACGGAAAAAAAGAGTTTAAAAAAAATTATTATTTATTAATTGCTCCTATATATTCTTTCTAAAGAAAATGTTTTTACTAAGTTATACCTGTGTAAATATCAAGATATTCATTGTGTTTTAAAACTTTTTTCTAATTCGTTTTGTAAGGAAATAAATAACTTCATAAATCTTCAACAAATATATTGTTCAATAAACATGGTAGTGTTCAAGATACATGGTGACTATTTTATTTAGAGAAACGACTTAAGACTACTTAATGGTAAATTTGAATACAATTATTAAATTCTGTAAGCGGTGTCAAAATTTGTAATTTTGAATCCTTCATACCTCTTTACTGTAAGAAATAATAACTACAGCACAGGGGTGCCCAGAAGGTAGTTTCATTAAAATTTTTGAGGGTGGCACATTTTGGTGGGATTTGGAATATTTGAGGGATACATTTCGATGGGGTTTAATTTTCGGAATGAAAAGTTATGACCAGGGGACAAGTGGAAAATATGGACGAGATCGCAGCGTGTAATTGTAATCGAAGTGTAATTGTATATGATCTACATTTTTTAATTCTTCTTCTTTAGCTTGTACTGTTTTTAAGAACAGGGGAGCAATTATATTTCGTGGTAAGAGGAGGGGGAGATTTAAGCGCCATCGACCTTGGGGAAATAGGGAGGGATGGGCACTCTTGCTACAGCTAAATTTTGTATTTTTCTAACAAGAACAGAAAAATCATTTCATATTATAGGGTACGAACCAAATGGTGCTTGGAAATTACATATCTTGTTGTGGACTACTACCATACTACATAACAATAAAACAATATCAACAATGAGTATTGCACTTAGCCTTGGCCAAATATATACATAACTTACAATATACACTAAATTACAATAAGTCTCGACTAATTATTTAATTAAAGCAAAATACTTATGTATAATACATTAGAAAACAGACATGTAAAATGACAGGAATCTAGCTAATTCGTATTAATATTATAATTTACTAAAAACTCAAGAAAATTTCATATTTGGTACTTTAGACTAAATAATGACTAGACATGGGCTATATTAATATTTCCGAGACATAGCAATCGTCCGAAATGTTATTACAATTTTTATTTAAAGACAGAGACTCATTTCTCCAATATATCATACACTTATTTACCGGTTTATAAGTTTATATTATCACATAATAACTGTATTGGTAAAATATAATATCGGTATTTATTTGCGTTTATCGTCCTTGGACGTAACCAAACACTTTGCACCACATTAATACCACATTTTGTACAGACACAACAATGATATGTGTTCGAACATAATGTTCGAGACGTGCATTGGAATGACAATTCCTTGTATTACACTAAAAAAATAAAAGAAACATAATACAATTTTACATCCGTAGCACGCAAACAAAATATTCACATCAAAATGTTGTAAGTGACTAGATAAGTAAATATTGTGAGAAAAAAGTTTTTGGAAATTCATTTTTTTTTCTTTCCAAATTCTCTCAAATTTATTTTATTTTAGTTTCTATTACGAATGTAGTTTTAACACTATTTTCTTCCCACAAATATATTTACTGTTATTAAGTAAGATATACTTTCGGGTCATTTGTAGTTATTATTAAGTTAATGTGATATTTATTATTTAACACTTACACTATTTTTTTTTCTGAACTGTTCACTGTGTTTTTTGTAATCATTTCAAAATAATTATCATTTGCACTATACTTGCCTAACTAAATCGCTTTTAGTTTGATTTTAACAAAAATGATATTGCAGGAAGTGAAGGTATTATTCATAGATGGACAGTATCTGATTATAGGTACTCGACTTCGAACAGATAAAATATAGAAGTTCGGCTTTAACAAATTAAGTGCCAACTATAAGATGTCCCTATTGCATCCTGTTTACATAAAGTGTTCTTGTGCAAAGTGATTGGTGTAGTCTATGGGTTGATCCTTCCGGTACCTAGGTCACTTGGTCAACCTCCTCCGCAGAGGGCTCTCCTCGTCGTCGACTTCTTTGTCACCGTCCTTGTCCTGGTGGGCGGTCATGTGCCTCGTCAGGTGATGTCGTTCCCTGAATGACTCGTTACAGACCGGACAACGCAGTTTGTCCTGTTCTCGACGACGCCTGCTGCTGTCTGAACTGTTGTGATCGCTCTTGTGCTGCGATCGCATGTGGTAGACTAGGTCGGAGGTCATTCTGAAGCTGATGTTGCACTTAGCGCATACATTTTGGGCGGGCAGAGTGAGCGCTGCCAGAGAGGTCGGGAGGAGAGCGGTGACGTTAGCAGCCGTGAGGAGGGCAGGAGGCGCCGGAGGTATCACTGCTGGGAATGGGTACGCCATGGCCAGTCCTCCATATGGTACCATGTCTGGGAATCTCTTTGACGTTGAACACTTCTCCAAATCGGGACTCAATTTTTCCTGGAAATATGGCTTGGGTACGTACTTTGGGTAGTAGGTTGGAGATCTGGAGTTGGGTGAGAGCTCCGGAGACACCCTCTGATACTCTGCTGGGACGGGAGATATGGCTGGACCCGGTGAAACGTTGTCCTTATTGACTTTAGTGAACGCGCTCTTGGGGAATTCGTCTTTGGGGGAAGGCATCAAGAGTCCCACTTCTGGGAACCTCTTCTCCTCGGGCGGCTGGTACATGAGGGAGTTGGAAGTGACCAACCGCAGCTGCTCCTTCAGTTCATCATGGTGTCTCTTTTTTGAACTGTCGTCTGGAGCCATCAGGAATGCTACGTCGAAGCTCCTCTTAGCAGCTGGCTTTACTGGAGGCTCTGCTTCGGTGTAAGGGCCGCTGTCACCGATCATCCTCCGTCGAATGTCCATCGTCATTTCAACTGGACCCCTAAAACGAAGATTTATTTGATTAGTAAAATGATAATATAGTGGAATTCATTATTTCCTAGATATTTGTAAGTCTTTTACTAATATAATTGTCAACTTCAAAGTTTTTAAATATTTATAATAAATTGAGAACAACAATAATAATAAATATTTTCTCAACGACTTCATGTCATTGATATTTATTTTTATTTAACCAATTTCAAATAACAAATACAAAATTAAATTGAACTTGAAATCATAGTTAAAAGTTTACAAAATGATTCAAAATCTGTTAATAATTAATAAACTGTTATAATTTTTTAGCTCTTAAACACAGACAATGATATAGGGATGCATAGATTATGAAGTTATAAGTGGACTCTTTTTTTTTTTTTATCCCGTCATATTTATTTTCCGCTGTTATACCATACATCCCCATTACCACCGTACATATTTTGTTTTAAAGCGTAGATTTTTACCTAAAAGAAATTGTATCATTTACTTAATGTAGTAAATAAAATGAGTTTAACTTGTTGAAAATTTACCTACCTTATTTTTTTTAGAATGATTGGTATATATAATAATTCAACAGAAGCTAAGGCGAGACGCAAGTTGCTGCCGTACTTCAACCTATGAGGGATGAAGGGAGTCATTATGCTAATTGAATGCTATGGTTGCGGTAGCTGGGGTCGAACCCCTCCGGGAAGGACCTCCCCCTTTGTTATTAGCGCCCGGCTCAGCCTGTTTAGCGAGCGGAGTCAGTGTTGATTATGCTAAATGATCAGCTGATCAGTGTTGATTATGCTAAATGATCAGCTGATCAGTGTTGATTATGCTAAATGATGAGCCGATAAATGTTGAGGATTTATTTATTTCAATGATTTTTATATATATATTTTGATGAGTTTTATCAATACGTTCAATATTTATTAAAAGCCTTCTAAAATTACTCTTCAAAGTGTATTTCATCTAATATTTCAGAAAACTTACATCCATGTTATTTCATATTAATAAAATCTGTGGATTAACAAAACGAATCGAACTTGCTTTACTCCCACTGATATTTCGGTAGCATCCCTACTATTTATTATTGATTAAATTTTTATGATCAATACATGTAGAAATATATTCATTTTAATCTTTTAATATTAAATCAGTTGTATAACATCATCAAGTCCAATAATGCGTAAAATGAATTTAAATTTAAGCTTCATCTTCAACCACTAGCGGATCCAGGATTTAATTTTGGGGGGGGGGCTTCAGTCCGGAAGCTTTTTTTCACAAAAATAGCGATAATTACTTTGGAAAAAAAGAAAGAAACTAACTACCTGTATGAAATGGTGTTTAAGTTATTCCTAAAGCCCTTTTAATATTAATCACACGAACAATTATACTTTAAGAGATACTTTTTTAATATTTTTTTCGATAAAACATGGTTATATTTTACCATTTTGGGGGAGGCTTCAGCCCGAAAGCCCCCCTACCCCCCCCCCGTAGATCCGCCCGTGTCTTCAACCTATTTATAATAGCTTGAATAAATTTAATTTTGATTTAATTTAATAAATTGAGTCAATTTAATTTTATATATATATGCACATGTTTGTTTTTTTTAACGTTTTTATGGATTTATTGAACATTTTTTAATAACATTACAACATAGAAAAAATATTTTTATTAAGCAGTTTTTATTAAAATTTAATAATCATGATATAAAAAATTAAATAAAAATAGAACCTCTAAAATAGAATCATGACAATTTTTTTTAAAAATTTTTATGTTATCGAAATATAATTATAATCTAATTCCTGCAGGGAACGCACATTATTTAATGCCAACTTTATTGAATACATTACATACATCAGAAATATACAAGTATGTTGTCAATGCCATTTTATCTTAATCGTCGTTTTATTCTCACTTCTATCATCATATATTTTTGCAATAATAAGTATTTTATTTATATTTGTTATATCGACAATTTCTCAGTAATGATCAATCTTGCTTCCTTATATTATTTTTTATTAAAAACCTATTCTTTTTCAGCAAATTTTTATTGTATATTAATATTTTCTGACCTCCAAGCAATCTAAAATACAAGATTTTAAATACAATTATTAAATATTTATAATACAAAGAATTTTAATATGAATATGTTTATATAATAAGTATTGTATCAACAATGCCCTACAGAAGTATTGTTTGTTTATTACTTTATTTGTTTTATTTCTTATTCCCGTGAACATTTTTTACAATACTACATAATAATTAGAAGTAATTATATTTTTGTCACGTTTAACAATCATTTTATTTTGTTTGTTAATAAGCATCGAGCTAAAAATCCATAATTTATCCACAACCAGTTACATGACATATTTATTTTCGGTGTAATTATTAATTTTGCTGCAACAAATAAAATGATACAGAATTCAAATATAGAAAAAAACATGTATAGCAATATGGTTTTTCATTTAATTTGATGCTGTTTCATTTTTTTTTCAGCTAAATTAAAATTTTCATTATTTATTTCTTAACTTTTTTGCAAGAAAATTAAAGTTTGTCAATCTCCATTTAATCTCTGAATGAATTTACCTAATATTTTTTTTTTTATAAATATGTTAGTTATATACGTTTTCATGAAATTGGCGAACAAATGTTTTATAAATACCCATATGTAAAATATAAATGTTATTCTAATTTGTTTTTAAAGCCTACTTTTTAGGTACCAGTTATCACCTTCATGCCGTTTTATAGTATTATACATCAACAATATTGTTGTTATTATACATATTGCCTTTAACACTTATTTACCGACAATCAATAATTCACAAAATCAAGAAATACAGGTAATGTTTAGACAGGTATTTTTTAAAATATACTATATATGATAAAATAAGATATATCTTAACATTAACATTAAATATTATAATTTCCCAAGAATTCATGGAAAATTATAATATTTATATTTTAGCACTAAAATAACCATAGTACGGAATACAATTCTTATGGCTTCACTTATCAACAATTTAAATATATATCTAATTAATTTTGCAAAGATCAAATATTATAAGATTTATGATGGATGATTATTTATAGGTACCAGTTTTATTTATTTTATGAACGACTGAATAACAATAATAAATTTTAGCTTAAAATTCTAAATAAAAACTTTCAAATACTCACAATTTGACATCCTTTTAATATATATATATTTTTTATTAATAACATAAGCAGGGACATTATTCCCTAATAATTTTAATAGAAATCTTACTGCTAAATATAAATTTGTAAATAGAGAGAGGAAGAGTGAAACAATTAATTAATAAAATAAAATGTTTTAAAAAAACAATAGAACTAGGCTTTTTGTAATTTGCGGTATTAGATTGTTTTTTAAATATTTATCTTTAAAATCATTGTATGCAATACATAGCAAAAAAATATATACAAATCATGTATTTTAGATGAAATTAAGTAAAATTTATTTGTATCAGATAATGTATACATGCATACCTATAAAAGAAATCATTGTAACAAACTAAAGTAACTAACATTACCTCAAATAATGTTAACGGAATAAAATGGTAATACTTTTTCTTTGTTTAACATTTCACTCCTTCTCTCTCTCTCTTTATATATGATGTAGGTGTAATATCAATGAAATTAAATATAAAGGTTTTGGTTTTCTTTGATATTGATGTACTAAGAAATTAATTAATATTAATTGTATTTGATATTAATCTCACATTATTCGGCTCCTTTATACAACTTCTTAATCTTATAAATAAGAGAACGATTTTGTGCTCATTTTAATTTACGTTACAAACCTTTATTTGAATTGAAATCAATGAAATTTTATATTTATATGAACACTTCATAACACTTATGATTATGTTGAACGATAATGTCATTACAATAAATAATTATAATAATAAATATAATGTGATAATATTCTAATAATAATAATTTTATCAATACGTTTATAGAGCACCATAAAAACAAAACCACTTGAAGGGAGTTTTCTATTCTTTACGTTTCCTTATGATCTGAGATTTTCTGAATAAAAGATTGTGAATTACGTTTTTCGTGAATTTTGTTTAATTAATATGACATTTTAAAAATTACGGTTGTTAATTTTAAAAAATAAATTAAATGATGATAAAACATGCACGTAAAATTAATGAAACATATACCTGTTATATTTAAGGGCGGTGAAACTTGTGAGACGTAAACAACAGCTGTGTGGTTCTGTTACAGACCGACGTCACGACTATCCTAAGCCTGGAGACAGACTGTCAACCCGAACAGATAGTCGGTCAGAGGTGGCAGTAACCCCGCCCATCAGTGGGCGTGGCCACACCTGTCCAACCAAATCACTCAGATTTCTCCCCACTACTTCGAGCTCATCCCCTCCAACGGCCCATCTTTCCGTCACCGGCATATTATACGCTGTTTTGGGCGTTGGTGGGGGTTGTGTAGGAATTTAACAGGATCAGGTTCAACAGATACAATGAATTCAATACAAGGGTCCCATCAAAGCCTTCCTTATATATTATTATCTCTTTAGTCACGCCAGTTGAGCACATAAGTGCATTAAGAAGACAATATATTTTATCTGTTATTATTTTTATTAATTTATTTATTTTTATTCTTTTTTTGAACAAACCCAAGAAGAAGGGTTCATAAGTATGGTCCTTCCGTAGGTTCATTCTTTAATTACATTCAAATACGCCAGGTAAAATAAAAGACTTTAAGTAAAAAAAAAATATATATATATATATATATACATATATATATATATATATATATATATATATATATATACATTAATAACAACTTGTATATGTTAGGAATGATTATGTTGTAGTTTTTTTACGAAAATATTTTATTTTATTTTTAATCCGACATCTACCAAATCATCAAGTATTAGAATTTTAAAATGAAATTGGTACGCAATGGGTGTTCAAGTATGCAAATTTGAATTCGATAGTTATATAAACATGTTGAGAGTTCTTTCATATATATTTCATTGAGAGTTCACAATATATATATGTATATATATATATATACATATATATATATATATATATATATATATATATATATATATATATATATACGTTAATTTAAAAAAAAAATCCATCTTCAGAGGATGGTAAAAAATGAATTATCTCATATTAAGACTTATATTTTAAGTATTTAAAACTAATAAAAATAAAGTGATTTCTACAATAATTTCTTTTATTTTTCATTATTTATTACATGTGTAATATGTATTATGTAATACGTATTTGAATAATATGTAAATTGAAAAGTTAAGCCTTACAGAGAAGAGACATTGTATAATTTTCCACTAGTTATACATATGTTTCTTATCATTCACTAGTGGATCCAGGATTTCATTTTCTTTTTTTTTTTTTAAATATAACGATTATCACTTTGGAAGAAAAAGAAAGAAATTAGCTATCTATATGAAATTCTTGTTTAAGTGATTCTTGAAGTCCTATTAAATGTAATTACCCGAGCAATAGTAATTTAAGAGATCATTTTTAAATATTTTTTTCCATGAAACATGGTTATATTTTACGATTGGAGGTGACTTTAGCTCGAAAGCCTCCCCCCTCCCTTGATTTGCCTGTGCCATGGCGGATATGCATTATTACTTTAAATGATAAATTGTTGCAAAAACAACATTTTTTTTATAAATTAAAAGTGTATTTTTCCTATAGTTGAGACAATAAAAAAAAATAGTTACACAATCAATTTAGATGATCAATATTTAAAAACAATGTATTTTTAACATTTAAAAATATAATAATATAATAGAATTTATACGTATATGCTTAATATAATACATTCCAAGTCATAAAAAAAAGTAAAAAAAAAAAGAAGCAATTAATGCTTCATGACAAACTATCGCTGATATATTGTATAAAACACAGGCACTTTGAAGTGATACAATTTTAAATCGGATCATTTTTTTACATAACTAAAGGTAAATCTCAATTTATCATGCAGCATATCCTTTCTTAATTAATATGTAATTAAAATTTATAAAGTATTTAGGAATGATAAAAAATGATTTCTACAATAATTGCTTTTATTTTTCATTATTTATTACATGTAGATAAAAAATATAAATTGAAAAGTTAAGCCTTTCAGAGAAGTGACATTGTATAATTTTCCAATAATTATACATATGTTTCTTACCTTTCACTAGTAGATCCAGGATTTCATTTTCTTTTTTTTTTTCACAATCACTTTGGAAGAAAAATAAAGAAAGTAACTACCTAAACGAAACGGTGTTTAAGTAATTCTTGAAGCCCTATTAGATGTAATTACACCAATGATAATACTTTTAGAGATAATTTTTAATATATATATATATTTAGACATTGTAATATTTTACGATTTTGAGGAGAGATTCAGGCGGGAAGGCTGAATCTCTCCTCCCCGTAGATCCGCCTGTGTTATCATTAGATTTACAACGCTATGATATAAACTAATAAGGTGTACAAATTGTGGTGGTCCACATTTTTGGCGCCCGCATATTATTTATTTATAGTATAGTAATTATTTATGGTCCACATAATTCTGAAAACAGGACTATGGGGACTATGGTAGTATTAACGGCCATTATTCTAAATTCTCTAAATTGTTAATTTTTTTAATATTTTAAGTAAACTAATTATATATAATTTTTAACTACACATAAGTCGAAAAATAATTTCACCAATGGCAGGAAAATTTTATGTTCATCGAAGAGTGTAAGTGAAATAATTTAATTTAAAAACGAAAAGGTGCCTACCTCAATGTTAACCTAATTTCGGATTTTCTACCTTAAAAATTTTGCAGGTTTATTCTCATTAAACAAGAATTATGAATATGAGAAGATCTTTAATTGTGACGACAATATTTATAGTCGCGAACCAAGTAGTTCTCTTTTTCATGATAGATTGCGAAATGATTATGAATCAACCATGATATATTGAACAAATATCTCTGACTACTATTTATCTGTAATATATCGGTTATTATGTATTAGTTCCTCATTATGTATAATCATCATTATGACATAATGTACTGTAAAAAGATGTAAATAAATGATAATAAAAACAAGGAGTTTATTATTTTTTTTTGTTTGTTAAATATCCGTTAAATGACTGTTACATACTCTCTCCCTTCCGCACCTTCTACCCGAAACCGTATGATTTCTGTAAACCTCAGTTCTTCTCATGCCTTCAAACCAATGATAATTGGTAAGTAACTATAATAAAAATTATATTAACCTGTTTAAAATTAATTTTTCTTTATATGCTTTGCATACTTCATATTCATGTTTCATCCTATCAGATTATGAAATATTCGAAATTTATTTTTATATTATGCCTGGGTTATTCGATTTTTTTTTTGTTTTGTCATCTTTCAACTGGATTACAGTTACCTCACGTTTAGAAACAATTCCTTGTTTAATAAAGTTCATCTTAATTGATTTGAGGTTTGTTATCGAATAACTTGAGATTTATCTCTTGTTTTGTTTATTTATCTCTAGTAAGCCCTCTTCTCTTTTCGCTCTACACATCTGATATTCCTAAACAACCTAGCACCATGCTCTATAGCTTTTCTGACGATTCGGCAATTCTTTCCTCTCACGAAAATCCCACAATCGCTTCAACAGTCCTTCAAAATCACCTCCACTACCTTGATAAATGTTTTCACAAATGGAGAATTAAAATAAATGAAAGCAAGTCAACTCATGTTAGTTTCTCGCAGAGGAAGATCTCGTGTACTGCTGTGACAAGAGACAACAAGTCAGCTCCCTCAAAAACTCATATATGGTATCTCGGACTATACTTGGACAAAAAACTTAGCTGGAACATGCAAATAAAATTTTAAAAAAACAAGAAGTGACCAGACGATACAAACAACGTCTTTTATACTACATATCTCCAATCAACTCAACGAAAACAAGCGACTAATCAACACTACCATAGTAAGATCTATTTGGTCATACGGAGCAGAACTTTGGGGTTCCGCAAAACACGAACACATAAAAAAATTCAAACAACACAATCCAAAATACTTCGTAAAATTGTCAATGCACCTTGGTTTATTTCAAATTACACTATACACACAGACATGAACATACTAAAAGTAAAATCCTACATACACAACATTTCGTTCTTCTGCTCTCAATCATCCAAATCCACTCGTTCTATCTCTTTCTTCCTCCCTGTTCCCTGGTGAGCATTAACGACGACTAAAAAGGCAGTGGCCTAGAGATCTTCTGTTTACAAGTTATGCATCAAGAATACAAGAAGACAGAATAAACGCCAATACATTTGCTTGATGCGCTACAAAATTTTTATACACAACTAAAGGTTTCTACTCAATTTATCCTGTAGCATATCTCCACTTAATTAGAGGAACTCTATTTGTTTTTAAAGGAGCTTTTATCCAATTCACTATGGAACAGCTTTTAATCAACTCAACTAAATATTATTAAGAGTATTACTAAGAAGTATATTCATATACCATAATAGATAAGTTGTAATTCCCAATCCTAATGATATTATGGCAAATTTCATGGCAAATAATTCTCAATCCATCTGAAAACATACCTTCACAGTTAATTATTAAATTCATTGAATCACGTAGTTTCTTGTAAATATAATTTGTATATATTCTTTATTTGACATAGAAATAAATTAAGTTTTTTATCAAAAGTTATTTTAATTCTGACACCTATTCATGTTTTGATGATCACAGGTAATGTAGGTAATTCGAAAGCATGATAAACACAAACCAGCCTTTGAGAAAAGAAATCCAATTAATTAATCATGGAACAAATGTATTGTAGATTCAAATTCATTTTACAAATTTTTTATTGTTAATTATTATAAAATTATTCTGGATAATTATCATCAATATAAATTTAATCCGTATAAATTTAAACATCCCAAAACGTAACATTTCAGCATGTAAAGAATAGATCCCATCAAGGATTTTTTATTCTTTTTTGGAATTATAAGGCTGTGTGGTTGGAATTTTTCTCATTATAATCATTCTTCAAATCATCTGTGATGCCAAATATTTTCGTTTGATTAATATTGATTTATTCAATTTATCCTTGTATTAGTTTTGTTGAGTTTGGATTTTCTCTTTAGCTGTCCCTGAAGATGTTGGAGAGGATTAAGGTCGGGGATTAGGAGTGGCCACTCACTGATATTGTTAGGGTCCTAAGTGACCACTTTTGCTATGCTACTCACGAGGTACCAGGCTTAAGGGTATAGAGTCTCCTGAACTATGGAAGGTATTGGGAGGTGGGAACTTTGAGAAAGACAAAATAACAAACCTTCTAAAACTTTTTGTTATCGTTTAACTAACGAAAAATAAAGAAATATCATGCTTCACTTTTACATTTTAAAATTAGAGATCAAT